ACCGGTAGAGAGATGATCGGAGCGAGGATCAGGGACATAGACTTCTTGCAAGGAGATGACATTCTCTGGATCAATTTCAAGGGAATCTACGAACTATACCAGCTAGACGCCCTCGACATCTCTATTATGAGTTGCTGGATTTTGTAAGTATATCGTTCAGTTAGATTTCTTACTACGTCCCCTTTAATTAATTAGGTCCTTGTATATAAGTAGACTATAGAAAATAATATACTCTGTTTTATCGTTGTAGAATGGAGATTCAAAGGGCCCGACGGCGGGGGGTTTTCGATACTGGATTCATCGACCCTCGGAATGTAAACGTCGCAATGCTCGACCAATATCCGCAAGCCACAGAGGACAATCTCGTCCATCTCCTGAAGGCGCAGCATTACAAGACGTTCATACTGTTGCCGTACAACACAGAGTTAGTTTAATTTTACTGTCTTTCTATACCAAATTTCATTCATGTACGAACTTGCTAAGTGTTTCATATGTAATGCATCCCACGCACATTGTAGATTCCACTGGGTGCTTTTACTCTTCGACCTGTCGGCCTGCACCGTCAACGTATATGACTCAATGAATAAAAAAGAGTCTACGTTTGACAAGGTTTTCGAACTTATAGACAGGTACTGTCATAAGTTCCTCTGTTAATTAAGAAAATCTTGTTATGTTAATTGCTACTACGAATCATAGTTTTAAACTCCATATAGGGCTTGGTATTGGTTCCGTCATTTGGTCCGCGGCAACTGGAGAGAAAGACTTAGGCGGAAGTTCAAATTTCCTGTGAGTACACATGCTATACATTTATATTTCTCCGATTCAAATACATACAAGTGTATATTAATTAGATCTCTCGTCGTTTGTCATTTATTTGTAGTGCACAAAGCAAAAGTAGGGAACTAACTTGTGCGGCTACTACGTGTGCGAGTATTGCCACTGCCTTGCAGACCAAATCATCACCACAAGAGAGCTCGATGTACGTACAAATAAATTCAAATTTTCATTACGTATCGATTTCTTGTTTAATTACTAATCAATTTCATACATTCATATAGTTTATTCGCATGAGGGATAACCTGACCACACACAAGAAATTTATCGCGGCGGTTCAAGAACAACTCATGGGATTCATCAACGAACAAATCCTTGATCCCAAGGGTGAATTCTACTACGACGGAAACACAATTCATAAGTCCTTAGCTTCTAAGCTAGCGACTACTACTACGTCAAAATCGTAGCTAGCTAGGACATATAATGGATTGTAATTAATACATGACTACATATGTTTCTATATGCATGTGTACACATTTTCTATAATGTAAATATATTTTAATTTGGTCATATACACACACATATGCATTTGCATGACATATATATATATATATATATATATATATATATATATATATATATATATATATATATATATATATATATATATATATATATATATATATATATAAACCATGCAGCAACAGGGCCATGAAAAAAAAAGGTCAGCTCGATCTTTAGTGTTACCAACCGGGACTAAAGATAATGATCTTTAGTCCCGAATTGATAGTCCCGGTTTAGAAACCGGGACTACAAGGGGTTACGAACCGGGACTACATAGGGTTTCTCCACAAGAATGCTCCACTGAACCAAACAAAATCGATCACAAACGTACAGTTCTGCAGGGTTATTGGTGAACAAAATTGGGGGAGCTACTCGATTATTGGCCCGTTGAACTTGGCTCGTCAGGCATGATTTACGGATAGATTTCCGTCGTGGGTCACTGATTACTGAAGCCGAAGCTGCACACCTCGCTATGCCCAGAGCCCTAGACAGCCACGGGTCTACAGTGATGATCCACTTTAATTAAACTGGCCCATTCTGTAGCTAGCTAGATTCCAAAAGGTCGCAGCCCGTGTTCAGATGGCCCCCATTCATGCCGTGCCGATGCCGATGTAAGTTCGCTGTGAACTGTGAAGGGCGCATTTCTTTACATATTATCGAGTGCACGTCTGAATATCTGAGACACGTACGAAGTTGGGAATTTTCTTTGTCAGAAAACTCGGCAATTAATCATGGTTCGATTCGTCAATCATCAGCCAATCGTGATCGGAGAACATTTCCAACGAGCCACCAGTCCACCACACCACCACCGTATAAAGCTGACTGCCGGCTTACCGAACCGATCGCCCGATCCCCATGCCCAAAAGTGATTTGGCACCACCACCTGCATGCCTCAGTGTACTGCAATGGCAATACTGTTGTCTGCAACTGTACATGGCAGCATGACACGCTGCATGCTGCTCCCAACGCTGCCATCTCGAAGCCACGCGCCGACGCCGAGAAACACAGCCGCGACCACCGATCTTCGTGTGTAAAATAGGTGTGAAACATCGAGTTTTATTTTTGTTATAGTTGAACTTAAATTTGGAATACATGGTACTCCCTCCGTTTCAGGTAGTTAAAATCAAAATACTCTAAGTTTAACTAAATTTGTAGATAAGTACAGTAATATTTACATTATCAAATTAATTTTATTAAATTAATAATTAAATATATTTTTATAATAAATTTATCTTGGATCGAAAATATTACTATTTTTTTCTATAAACTTGGTTAAATTTGAAACAGTTTGATTTTGACCAAAATCAAAATATCTTATAACCTGAAACGGAGGGAGTAAGAGATAAGAGTTCGAGTCGGACATGTAACCTGAGAACGTTTAGATAGAAAAGGATGTCGCAATACAACCACAATGATTACAATGTAGAGTAAACACGTAGGGAGAGGATGACAAACGAGACCCATTAACTCGTAGTGGCTAGGTGATATATTGATAGGAAAAAAAGAGGAAGGTGGACTTGCAACCGGTCTTTGACAAAATCTCGGGGAAGGTAGCTACCTGGAGAGGAAAACACATGGCGGCGGCTGGAAGAACTACGCTCGTTAAATCTGTGCTTACGTCGCAGCCGATTTACCTCCTAACTGCTCTAAAAATTACGAAGGAATCTCTGGAGCAGATAGACAAACAGCGAAGACGCTTTCTATGGGCCGGCACGGAAGGTATTACCGGGGAAAATGTTAGGTCAATTGGACAAAGACATGCTTGCCAACCAGCCAGGGTGGACTTGGAGTTCTAAATTTGGACAAGTTCACGAGGGCCTTGAGGTTGAGGTGGCTCTGGCACAAGTGGAAAGACCCGACCAAACCATGGGTTGGTCTCGATACACCTTGTGACGAAATTGACAGAGACCTGTTCGCCGCCTCAACAGAAATAACAGTGGGTGATGGAAACACGGCACGCTTCTGGAGCTCTGCCTGGATAGATGGGCGTCGCCCTAAAGACCTCATGCCACTAGTCTATGCGATTTCCAAAAACAGAAAGAAAACTCTGCGACAAGGAAAAGAGGGTGACGCTTGGATAAAAGATCTGACCATACATACGCAGTCAACGATCACAGTCAGCCTCATTGAGCAGCTAGTCGCCCTGTGGGAAGCAGTTCGGAATGTGCAATTAGCCAATGGCGAACCGGATCAGATCGCTTGGAAATTCACCAGCAACGGGCGATACGCGTCATCTTCAGCCTACCAAGCGCAGTGCTATGGGACACCTAACACAAATTTCAACTCCTTGATATGGAAAGTGTGGGCACCCGAGAAATGTAAATTCCATGCTTAGCTCATTATCTAGAACAGAGTTTGGACATCTGATCGGCTTGCGACCAGGGGTTGGCAAAACAACGAACATTGCCCCCTATGCCGCTGTGAGAATGAGATGGCCTTGCACCTTGTAGCCACTTGTAGATACACCAAGAGAATTTGGCACCTTGTCGCCACTTGGGTGGGCCATCTGCTGCTGGATCCGGTGAATTGGGAGGAAGCCCACTCAGTGCAGTAGTGGTGGGAAAACATGGCAAACACGCGCGGTGTTCCAAAGAAGGGACTTAGATCCCTCATCCTGTTAGTGGTTTGGGAGATTTGGAAAGAGAGGAATCGGAGGATTTTTGACCATAAAGAGATGGCAACGAGCTTCCTGCTAACAAAAATCAAAGATGAGGTTGGCCTATGGGTTCTAGCAGGGGCTAAGCGTCTACGAGAGTTCGCCCCATACCTTCTATAGTGTACTGTAACAGCTTTTCTTTTTATCCTCAGGGGTTGTATTTTCTCCCACTCTATTCAATGAAAAGGCACTATCTTGTGCCGTTTTTCCGTTAAAAAAAAAAGAACCGGATGCGCGGCAGCCGGCAAGCCAGCCAGCCAGCCGTTGGGCGCGAGCACAAGTACGAAATCTTTTCGAACAGTGACGCGGATGACGAATATATTACCACGCGTTACGATAAACAGATAAGAAGATTTTGCTTGGGTTATCTGTGAGGGCAACGGGGGAGCACTGCTTTTTCTGGCCGAGCAAACCTACAAATATGCCAATCCAATCCGGATGAGGAATCAGTCTATATGAAAACACATCCATCAAGCTCTGATCTTCTTTAATTAGACGGACACCATGACCACCAGATTCCCATCGAAGCTCCATCCAAGGTTTTTCCTCCAATATTTTTCTTCTGGACAAGCCATGTGTTTGGACACTTCTGGTAGTAGCATAGTTTGGACAAGATCACAAATAAGCCATGTTAATTTGAGTCAACTGACTAATGCGCATGCTCATGTAGTACTAGTGTGTTTTGTCAGAGAGAGGGCACCCACAAAGCCACCACTGACCACTCGCTTTGCCAAGCAATGCGTCTTTTTCCACTGAGACCAAGGATGAATTCACAATTTGGAAGGAAATTAAAAGCGCTGATTAGATTAAGCGGCTGCGTAACATGTGCCCACGCGCGCCGCGCGCGTGCGGGGGTTAAGCCGACGCGTGCCCGCCGGGTGCCCAGCTGGCACTCTCCTCCACCGTCCGATCCCACCCACGGACGGCCACGATTCCCCTAGCCGAGATGTACCGAGTAATCAAGCCACTAAAACCCCAGCTAATAACTATAAGTACGAGGTGGGAAAAAAAATGGAGACGCGAATTGGAATATAAATAGAGGCGCGCCGCGGTCAAGTGCTACCATCCAAATCGAATCCCCGAAAGCGTTACTACCTTCCTCTCCAGATACTGGCAAATTATTTTCTTTACAAATCATTCGCAGCTAGCTTAGCTCGCTTTGCTTGTAGTGGCGACTTGTGAGGCGGAGGAGGAAGGAGATCGAGGCTAGGGAGATGGCGTCGTTGAAGTCGCCGGTGGCGGCGGAGGAGCAGGCGGCGACGGCGGCGGCGGCGGCGGCGAAGGGGGAAGGGGAGAGGTGCCCGGTGGAGGAGGTGGCGCTGGTGGTGCCGGAGACCGACGACCCGACGACGCCGGTGATGACATTCCGGGCGTGGACGCTGGGGCTCGCGTCCTGCGTCGTGCTCATCTTCCTCAACACCTTCTTCACCTACCGCACGCAGCCGCTCACCATCTCGGGGATCCTGGCCCAGATCCTGGTGCTCCCCGCGGGGCAGTTCATGGCCGCCGTGCTGCCCAGCCGCGAGGTGCGCCTCCTCGGCGGCCGCCTCGGCAGCTTCAACCTCAACCCGGGGCCCTTCAACATCAAGGAGCACGTCATCATCACCATCTTCGCCAACTGCGGCGTCTCCTATGGCGGCGGCGACGCCTACTCCATCGGCGCCATCACCGTCATGAAGGCCTACTACAAGCAGTCCCTCAGCTTCCTCTGCGCCCTCCTCATCGTCCTCACCACACAGGTCTCCCTCCACACCTACTCCGGTTTTACGCTGGGTTTAATCTTTCGGTTTCCACGGTTCTTTCCGAGGGTGCCGATATACTGAAATTTTGATCCGAAATTGCCGAAGTTTTGAACAAAATTTAGTCAAATTTAAATAAAATATTGCCAAATTTAAAAAGATAAAATTTAAATTTAAAAATTCGGTCGAAATAACATCATATTGGGTCCGAAATGACGTTCCGGAATTTTGAACCATGATTTTACGTAGCACCTTAATTGAATGCTTAATTAGTTAATTAATCACAAAGAAACAATCAACAAAACCACTTCAACCATATCTTTTTCCCTCAGTTCGATTGCTTGCTTCTGACTGGTTCTGACTGGTACTAAGAAATAAGAATTGACTCGTGTCTTCTTTTTTTTGGCGAATTTGTCGCGCGATTGCGACTTGTATGTTTTCCTCCAAAAGATGTGACAAATACTGAACCAATCAGACGTTCTTGCGTTGCTTTATCTCGCGTACGAGTTGCCACCAATCATGCAGCGTTGAAGTTGAAATTGAAAGAAAACCTCATGTTGGCATATAACGTCACCGTGAATCCATCCATGTACTAGGAGGCCCTACAAATAATTGGCGTGATTTTGTTCGTCTAGCATGCGGCTGCATGTGCCTCTTGCAAATTTTCGTATTAGTGGGCAACTTTAGCATTCCTGTCGGATTGCTGGCACTAAGATGCAAAAAAGATTGGGTATATGGTGACGGATGGTCCGTGCACGAGTCAAAACTAAGCAGTACTACTACTAGTCATAAATAGGAGTATGAGATTATTCTTGCATCATGATTAGACTAGTCGTTTAACTAATCCATCCCAAAGTAAAAAAAGAAAACAATATAGTTAACTAATCATGAACAGGAGTTATTCTCACGCAATTTAATCTGAGTGCGCTATGAATCTAGAAAAACTATATTTATTAATTTTTTAATAACTATTTAGACGATATACAAACAATGAGACATGAAAATTCATATCGTGGTAGATAGTATAAGTGTAGTAGCACAGCTAAGTGACGTCATGCTTGGCTTGCTGCATGCAGATACTGGGCTATGGTTGGGCCGGGATGCTGAGGAGGTACCTGGTTGACCCGGCTGACATGTGGTGGCCATCGAATTTAGCCCAGGTCTCACTCTTCAGGTAATTAATTAATCACGTCGTAAATCTCTCAATTAAGCAAGATCAGCCAGTTAACTATGCAGGCTAACTAATGATCTCTGTGAGTACATGAAGGGCGTTGCACGAGAAGGAGGGCGGCGATGGCGGGAAGGGGTCGTCGTCGAGGGGGCCTACACGGATGCGCTTCTTCCTCATCTTCTTCTTCGCGAGCTTCGCCTACTACGCGCTGCCGGGCTACCTGCTCCCCATCCTGACCTTCTTCTCGTGGGCGTGCTGGGCGTGGCCGCACAGCATCACGGCGCAGCAGGTGGGCTCCGGCTACCACGGCCTCGGCGTCGGCGCCTTCACACTGGACTGGGCCGGCATCTCGGCGTACCACGGGAGCCCGCTGGTGGCGCCGTGGTCGTCCATCGCCAACACCGCCGCGGGCTTCGTCATGTTCATCTACCTCATCGTGCCGCTCTGCTACTGGAAGTTCGACACGTTCGACGCGAGGAAGTTCCCAATCTTCTCCAACCAGCTGTTCACGGCGTCCGGGCAGAAGTACGACACCACCAAGGTGCTCACGAGGGAGTTCGACCTCAACGTGGCGGCGTACGAGAGCTACGGGAAGCTGTACCTGAGCCCGCTGTTCGCCATCTCCATCGGGTCCGGGTTCCTGAGGTTCACGGCGACGATCGTGCACGTGGCGCTGTTCCACGGCGGGGACATCTGGAGGCAGAGCAGGTCGGCGATGAGCTCCGCGGCGGCGAAGATGGACGTGCACGCGAAGCTGATGCGGCGGTACAAGCAGGTGCCGCAGTGGTGGTTCCTCGTGCTGCTCGTCGGCAGCGTCGCCGTGTCGCTGGTCATGTCGTTCGTGTACAGGGAGGAGGTGCAGCTGCCGTGGTGGGGGATGCTCTTCGCCTTCGCCCTCGCCTTCGTCGTCACCCTCCCCATCGGCGTCATCCAGGCCACCACCAACCAGGCACGCATCCATCCATCCATCGATCTCACCATGAATCATCGTCGATTCGTCGTTGTCCATCTCTGATTGTGTTAGAAAAAAACTTGTTGTGGTTGCAGCAACCGGGGTACGACATCATCGCGCAGTTCATGATCGGGTACGCGCTGCCGGGGAAGCCGATCGCGAACCTGCTGTTCAAGATCTACGGGAGGATCAGCACGGTGCACGCGCTGTCGTTCCTCGCGGACCTCAAGCTGGGGCACTACATGAAGATCCCGCCGCGGTGCATGTACACGGCGCAGCTGGTGGGCACGGTGGTCGCCGGCGTGGTGAACCTGGCGGTGGCGTGGTGGATGCTGGGCAGCATCGACAACATCTGCGACGTGGAGGCGCTGCACCCGGACAGCCCGTGGACGTGCCCCAAGTACCGGGTCACGTTCGACGCGTCGGTGATCTGGGGGCTCATCGGCCCCGCCCGGCTGTTCGGCCGCCACGGCCTGTACCGCAACCTGGTGTGGCTGTTCCTCGCCGGCGCCGTGCTGCCCGTGCCGGTGTGGCTGCTCAGCAGGGCGTTCCCGGAGAAGAAGTGGATCGCGCTCATCAACGTCCCCGTCATCTCCTACGGGTTCGCCGGGATGCCGCCGGCGACGCCGACCAACATCGCGAGCTGGCTCGTCACGGGCACCATCTTCAACTACTTCGTGTTCAAGTACCGCAAGGGGTGGTGGCAGAAGTACAACTACGTGCTGTCGGCGGCGCTCGACGCCGGCACGGCCTTCATGGGGGTGCTCATCTTCTTCGCCCTGCAGAACGCCCACCATGAGCTCAAGTGGTGGGGCACGGCGGTCGACCACTGCCCGCTCGCCTCCTGCCCCACCGCGCCGGGGATCGCCGTCAAGGGATGCCCGGTGTTCTGAGCTCGCCGGCCGGAGCTGCACACGGTGGTGTATGTAGGTAGCAAGAATTTGGGTTTGGATTGGGGAAAAACCATGAATTCAGCCTGGTGTCAGTTAACTGATACAGTCCTAATAGTTGTCAGCTGTTACCTCCCGTGTGATGAGTGTAACAAATTGGCTTCCTGCAAGGAAATGATATAGTAGCTAGTAGTTCATATAAGATCATGCCATTCTGGAATATGCTGAAACAGAGATGTGATGGTAGTTAATCATCAGAGAATCCGCAATTACGGAGCAAAGATGAAAAATGTAAAAGCACACCATTGACAGAAGCAGAGTGATAGAAACTGAAGTTGCACTCAGGTAGCAAGCATTTGGGTTAGGGTTGGGAAAAACCATGAATTCATACTGGCATCAGATAACTGATACAGTCATTATAGTGTCACCTCCTGTGTCTTTAGTGTAATAATGTGGCATTTTTTTTCTGCAAGGAAATACTATAGGTAGTTTATATAAGATCATGTCAATCTGAATATGCTGAAACAGAATTCTGCTAGTAGTTAATCATCAGAGATGAAGCAGTACTGTAGTATTATAATTGAAGAAAGATAAACGAACTCCTCAAATCAGCAATTGAACAGGAAACAATATGCCGTCAGAAACTTAATATTTCTACTAGCGTGAATCCACAACAACGAAGTAAAGAGGAAAAATGTAAAAACACACCATTGACAGAAGCAGAGTGATAGAAACTGGAACAGAGCATATGATAGGTACCTACCATATGCGATCCTTGTAATCAGCAATGGCACCATCCCTTACAATTGCAAGCTCGTCAGTTGTCATCATCAGTACAGAAGGACAGGGACATCAGATAGGCACCTTGTGGCCGTGAAACCAACTGCACCCTGGATGGTTCAGAGTGGCAGTTCAAAGATCTCGTCTGCTCTCGCAACAATGTGCTTCCTGCAGATCCATGCAATGTGGCCGTCATCTCTGTACCTAACGCGCCACAGACCAAATCTCTGTGCTATGTCCATCCCTGTCAAAATCCCTTGACCTTTCAAGAAATCAACAAGCCACTGTCTGGCCGTTTTCATATCATCCTCCATGTCATTTGTGCCACTCTGGCTGCCGTTATTCCTCGCTTTTCCATACATTGCCGCTGCGCCTAATGCCCCCAATGATAAGGCTGATGTGGTTGCACCATACATGACTGACGAGTCCAGCAAGTGCACTACCTCCCTGCTCAGGTCAGGTATCATCTCCCCCATCCCGACAATGAAATGCGCCCCGATCTTCAGAGCAAAAGTCAACAGTTTCATGAACTTGCTCATGTAAGGCAGCAAGGATTGCACTGCCCGGTTATCTACCTGAATCAGATCGCACCCGACTTGATCCTCCAACACATGCATTTCTTGTCGGAACTCGCACAGCATGTGTACCCGTAGGGACCGCATGCCAGGCAGTATTCTTGTGACAAGCTTCTTGGAACGGCTGTCCAAGCTTACAAGATAGAACAGCTGAGGAACCTTTCTATCCTCCAGCTGAATGCTGTAGTTCATTACATAGTCCATTTTCCTGTGGAGTTCAGTCACAAGGTGATACTCGTAGTACCTCAGCCTTGCAATTTCCTCCTTCAAGTCCTGGATTCCTTGTTCTATTCTCTTCAGTCTTTGGAGAACCATCTCAACACCTTTGGCAATGCCTAGTATGGAGGGATCAACTGCATCCGATTCAGCAATAGTTTCGGATTGTTGCAGATTGTCTGGGGTCACTGCAAGTTCAGTTGCAAGATGCTGTAGATCATAGTACCTACGATGCAAAACATCATGGAAGTCATCGTCTGATAGAAGATCTCTAGCATGATCTAATCCTGACATTAAGATGACCCTTTTATTGTTTTCAACTGCACTCCAGGTATGTTGATAATCGTAAAAACTTTCTGCCGGCAATGACAGCAGAATGTGCTTAATTTTTTTGACAGGTAGCAGCTGAGTTGTACGGAACCTTTGTGGTATGAGATATTTCACACAGTCAGGTCTGATAATGCTTTCCTTGAATGTCATACTGGGAGACATATTTAGTATTGTTGTGATTACTGACTTGTGCAGAAGCCTCACCATGTCTGTAACATTTCTAGTGGAGCATGCAAGTACATCTATGGATGAGCCCAACTTCATACCCAGCTCAACCCTTACATGGACACCATCGATCACCGTATAAATAAGGTTTTTCTCCAAGTTGTAGACTGCTCCTTGCTGATTTCCAGGGCACATGATTTTATTGTGCAGACGTACCTGGAAGGAAGATAATCTTTTTTAGAAAGTCGGATCGTTATAGTAATCGACTTAATCATATCCAGCTGCGCTCTGTACATATCTCTAAATAACAGGACCATCCCCTTGGCAGCAGTGTAGTAGTTACTAGTTAGAGTTACAGTATGTTTTACCTGTAGCCTTGGAAAGAAGTCATTTGTCAGAAACATGTGTGTATCTTCACATTCCATATGCCTTCCAGCATATCTGCACTCTGGCATGGTTAACTGCCACCGTTGAATCCCTTCTTTGCTTTCCTCAAGCATAGCTGGTACTAGAAGTAATGTGTTTGGGTTCCCAGGGTCTTGTTCATAGCACAGTTCAAGTTTCAACAACATATTAATGATATCACCAGATTGCAAGGATGCACCAGCTCTCCAGTTTGATCTTTGAATTTGATTACACAGCTTCTCTTGCAGAATCTTCTCCAGATCTTGTTTGCGGACAAAACCACTATTTTCTATCTTGATGGATTTCAATGCACCTAGTTGGCTGAGTATATCTTGACAGAACCATTCGCAGTTCATTATCAGCACTCCAAGCTCCTCAAAAAATATTATTTCACCTAAATCATGCAGTGACTTTGCAACAGCATGTCTTCTTGTGTCTAATTTCTCGGCATTATCATGCCTTGATCTCAACCTTAGCACTGGAATGCTGAGCTGACATATCTCGCAGAACTCAGACCATTTGACCACTGATTTATCATTCTTCAATCTCCAATTATGCAAATACCTAATCAAATCATTGCATACTTCATAAACTTGAGGAGCTTGTTGGAGAACTGTCTTTGTTGTATTTCGCAAGTGATGGGTGAGCTTACTTACTGAAACCTGTGATCTTGAGTCTACCACAAAAACGGTGGGGTAAATTTCAGCATATGAACAGAAGTCTTCTCTGAGTCTTTGTACAGCTGCAACGATCAATTGTAGCCCTTCTGCTAGATGAGATACCTTATCATAATGTGTGAGAACTATCGTAACACAGGGTATAAATGAGTGCGACACTCTTCTCCTAGAATTTGAAGCAACAAACTTCAACCAGTATATCAGCTCCTGTTCAATCACATCTATGCTTTTTGGATATTTATCAGCAGGCTTTCCAATCAAACTAGATACAATCATGAAAATCCTTGGACCACCATGCACAACAAACATGAAATCATGCAAGGGAATACTTTCCTCAGGTCCACCAATATTACACATAGTCAATTTTGTGTTGCCATCGAAAATTATATTCATCCCATACTCATTGGTGTGTGACATTTGCTCAATTGGAGTCTTTGAAGTTCTTATTTCATCCATGCGAGGCAATTTCATTGAATTCATGCAGTGCTTTATGGAGCTACACAAAGTGCTTTTACCTGCAGGATCATTAAAAAGCAAGCAAAATAAATCAACGGTTCGTATGCTAGAGCTGTGGTAAAGGTACAACATTATATAGCACCAAGCAAGAAATCAACTAAATTTAGGTCGACAGAAGGGTAGGTTTCATTTGAATGCCATCCAGACTCCAGCAGAACAAATTGAAATAGTTTAAACTTTAAACAGCAAATTGACAAGTTAAAACAAAGAAGAGCTGAACACGACAAAACTATAGATATAGTTGCCTTATTTCTATCTATAGATTACAAAGAGTAGTGAACAGTGGACAACGCCAAGGGTACCTGATAATTCTTGACCACAGAGAAAAACTTGGCAACAAGTAGGTGCACTTAGTGGCAAATCGAGCAAATCATTTGGTACAACCGAACTCCCATTCTGACCAAGTTTCTCATAAATTTCTCTGGTCTTACCAGCAACATGCAGAGGCGTTTCATGCAGGTCAATTTCTTCAATCCAAGGATTGACCTGCAACATGCCCATAATGGTCTGCAAGACTAGTTCCCCCTCGACTCCCCTGCAACCTTTCAATGATAGGTTTCGGAGAGTAGTATTCCTTTCTAAGCTTGTAAAGATTCTGACAACATCATTTGGCCTCAAGCTTACATCATCGCATATGGCCAACTGAAGTAGGCTCTGGTTCGTCTCCAACATCTGCAAGATTGCTGTTATGCCATATCTTCCTATATTTGTTTGCCGTCCACCAAAACTCAAAACCTTCAAAGTGAGATTGGCTTGTCTCTGAAGTGGTGAAAATGTACTCAGTGGGCACAGTAAATGCTCCAAACCAACTCCACCAAAGCGATTTCCATCCAAACTCAAGCTCTCCAAATAGCTGTTCTTGAAGAGGCCTGCAGCTATATACACAACAGCTTTGTCCCTGAGGCAACACTTGGTGAGCTTGACAGTTTTCAGCATCCTATTCCGCTCAAGGACTCCTCTGAGCTCTTTGGTCCACTTGGACTTCAATGGTACACCTGACATGTCCAATGTTGTCACTGTGGTGTTCCATGCCATAGCACAAGCAATCCTTTGTAGACCTGTGGAATTAATATTGTTGTAAATCCTCAAGCTTCCAGTTCCAGCCTGAAATTCAGCAATTTTACAACTGTTCATGCCACCTCTAGTATCACGACAGTGTCCCCATACATGCACCTCCACCCTGCGGCTGCGTGCAAGCACAGCAGAGAAAATCGGGGCTGCTGCAATGGAGCTATTGTCAAGGATGACCAACAGCTTCAACACACAATTTACCTCAATCATCTTTGAGAATTCTTCGGCTCCCTTAGCACCTATGGAATCATCCAATAGCTGGACCTCTTCCACGCTCCTGTTGTATGCCAAAGCTGAAGCTAGCAGTTTGACTCCAGATGCTCCAATTCTACACTCAGAAAAAACAATTGCCTTGATGGTGTTATTCCTTTGGATCATTTCTGATAGTGGGACTAAAGCAGCTGATGATTTTGTGCCAAAGACATTCTTTTGGAATTCTACCTGCTTCACACTTGAACCAGGGCCTAAAAATGAACACAGGAGTTGCACCCCCTCAGTTTGCCATTCAATACCATGAAATAGGAGGTTCACCACATTGCTATACATCTCCTTGTGCTCCAAAAGACGATGAAGCAACTTGTGCAAAAAACTGACACCATTGTGATCTGTACATGCATGAACTCTTACCAATCTCTCGCTTTCCATGGACATTCCAGATCCCACGTTTGTCGGAACCTGGTAGAACGCAATGCTATCCACATCCTTGTAATCCTGCAAATCAATCTCTGTGACATCCATGTCCTTTTGATTGAATGATAATTTTCTTGTGATCATCTTGTCACCCATGCTCAGAGGCGACGCTGTAGATGAGTAGAACAAGGAAGAGAAAGCAAATATGAAGATAGTCTTTTACATGCAAGGAAGATGTATATAGGTATCAAAGGAGGTTTTGGCAGATCAATGTCGCATATTACAACTGGAAAGAATGTTTTGAAAAGATGAGTTGCATGGACATGCATCAGATTCCCAGCTTGTCAAGCAAGCATGATAAAGAAAGGGACTACCTTTATCTTGCTTTGCTGTCCTGAAGAGGAATGACTATGAATCAAAAAAGGTAAAACGGCAATGTACAGCTGTGCAGGAATCAGAATAAAGAAAATTGTAAGGATAAACATCTTCAGAAGCAACCATCGGATTATTTAGGTAGTTTCATCTGCTAAAAACATAAATTTAGCATCTGGAAAACAAAATCATAATTTTGTCTGGATTCTCGATGCTATACATGACCAAACCATACATATGCTCTATCAGTCCATCCTACCTATGTGAAGCCCACCGAAACATCAACATGCACTTTGTAAACATCAGCACTCACTATAAAAAAAACAATATATTTTGTGTTGATGTTTTTTTCATTGGCATCATTCAGAAAACAAAACCCAAAAAAAAAAAAATCCCCCTATTGTCTTCATGTAACTAAAAGCAAATGGGTGCTTTAATGGAACTGTTTCTTCTTTATTGTCTTATTATATTGCGTTTGGCAGCATCATTTTTGCTTCATATAAAAGGAAGTTAGATCCTCAGATTTGCGACTGAAGTAAGGAATAATTGCAGCATGCTAGAGAAGCAAAGTATATTAGAGTCCACAATCATTGACCATTATACCAACAAATGGACTTCGCACAGAATCAAGCTAATCACTTGTAGATCTGTTCCGTCTCAAAGTGTTAGTGCCTAGAAGGTGAAAGAAAACAAAATGTGTATTTCCATACCGCCAAATGCAGGCAGGGTCAAGAATTGGGATCCAATGAGCAATCAGCAACAAGGGTGATACTGCTGCATTGTTTGATCCTCCACTTCCTTGCAACATCAGCTCAGCAAGGTAAGGGCATAATACCTAAGTTCTGGACCAGAAGGCTCATGAGTTCTCTTGCCCCCCCCCCCCTTCTTTTTTTAAGTTATGTCTATGATTATCTCACTGCTGTCTCCACCCAAATTTAATATAATGTTCACACTGTAAGCAAGATCTTAGATTCTAGACTAAAGTCTGGATAATGTGGTAGAGTGAACCTGAAAAACAATGAGAATTCCTGAAAGTGAAAATCTGCTGACAAATGCTAAACCAACAGAGTCCATATCCAAGAAATATTTCTATAATTTGGGTAAACATAAGGGAAAAGAATGTGCGTGCATATCTGGAGTGAGCATATTTGGGTCAAAAATTTTAAGAAGACGTGCAAACTTCAAACTATGGCAATACACAATGAAAAAAGAGAGACATTGCTTGACAATGCTCTCATACATATTGAAGAAATTGACACGACTTGTGCAATACAGGATTAGCATGGTAGAGTGAATGCTCTAGGGTGAGACAAGCTTTGGAACCTTGGATGCAGCAACTTCAATGCCATTCCCACTCAGATGCATATGGTAGTAATGAGATGCATTTGAACTATAACTTTTTACTAGAGCTTATACCGCAAGCTCTGCACGTATTAATACTGCCAATGTTTCTTCCATAATGATATCAATTGCTCAAACATTCCTTAAGTATCTCTGAACATGGAAAGTGAGGGAAATTATAGCTGACATTTAAGTCATGTCTCCCACAGAGATGATCAAACCTTAGAAAATTGAGTAATTGCTTCTTACCCTCTAAATGCAAGCAGAGGATCCCAATTGGGAGAAACAATGGTGCATAGCAGATGAGCAAACTCCAGATGATGTACTGCAACAAGCTCTCAGCTGGGCATGTGGTCCTGGTGGTGCAAACTGCACGATGATTCAACCAAATAAATATTGTTATTTTCCCAATAATGTCAAAGACCACGCATCCTATGCCTTCAACAGCTACTGGCAAAAATTCAAGAAACAAGGTGGTTCCTGCTACTTCAATGCAGCTGCAATGGTCACTGACCTGGATCCAAGTATGTTTGCCCTCTGAAACTCTGATACTTCACTGGCCTATTATTAGAAGCACTTTTTTGCTGGTACATACATTACTAGCATTGTAGCAAGAACAAAATGCAGAACATGCATATCCGTACAAAAGAAAAGCTCATGCATACTCATGACCCAGCAGAAGGGGACATGTTGCAGAACAAAAAGAGAGAAATAAACCCTCTATACAAAAAATAAGACTGTTCTGACATTCTGTGCAAGGAATTTCTTCATTTATTGTTTGTTAGGTAGCATGTAAAAATTATATATTATAGCTACACATTCAATACATCTACAATCTCTGAAAAAACTTGCATATCATTTTTACAGAAACCAGTTAACCTTTTTCCTTTAATGTGTATGTGAGGTCATTTATTTTAGATACAGTTGTAATTATTCCAATTGCATGCAGAAAACTCTGCTCTTTAGAATCAGGAAACATCTTACTCAGAGCATGGATAACACCAAAACATGATTACTTATGTTGTCTACTAATACGAACATCAATCATTGTTAATATTATGTCAATCACTTCATGCCATCTTGCAGGTCATGATTCGTGTCATTTTGAAGTGGTTCCCTGATACACCAATGAGTAAAGCACAGAAGAAGAAAACTTCCTTGTTAGCGCGGTTTCTTTCCCTGGTCATTCAGTAAATGAAAATGAAAAATATGCTTGACAGATAGTTTGTCTTTATGGGGACTACATTACTTGGAACACGAGAGATGAAATGTTCCTCCAATACTTCAAGATATTTTTGTTGTGCAAGTTAACTTCAATAAGAATAATTTCCATTGTTCATACTGCAACTTGTTTTAACGGTAAAGTGAGCGACTGGGACGGTTTCCTACAATGCATTAAAGAGGCCAGACGGCAGACAGGTAGAATATTTTTTTAGATAATGGATTAAAACCTGGTTTCTACATCCAACACGGATGTACAAAGCCAAGACAGCAAGTATATAGTTATAACCCAACATTTAATAGCTACTTGGTCCAGTATTGATTTTAATCAGAAATCCATGAGCAAGACTACAAGCTGATAATTCCAGAGGAAGCAGGTAAAACCATTGCTACACTATGCAGTGCCCAAATGATTTTAAGCATGACGTAAAGTTGTAAACAACATATGCTACATTTTAGGCATACTAGTTGGAAGCACTGAACCAATCTTACACCGAAGATGAGGACATGGGGTAGATAGAATTAAGACACAGCATTTGTGATGATTTGAGTGACCATGTTTGCAGACCAATAATCAAGGTTAAACGATCAGGATTGCCGTGGTACAGGAAATCCATGATTTTAAAGACATGGCTATGAGCCTATGAGATAGCATTAAATACTCCCTCCGACCCAAAATATAACAGCTTTTAGCCTTCAGGATTTGTCCCAAAATATAACAACTTTTTCACTAACATTCTCTTCCCAACCAATCACAACCCTCCACCATTCAATTTTTCCACCTACCTCCACTTCTCATCCAATCACAACCTTCTCACATTTAATTCTACCTTCTTAATAACCATGTCCAACCCTAAAAATCCTTATATTTGGGACGGATGTAGTAGAAGAAATAGTTTCAGTGTCACAATAGGTCGATCATTGAATGTAAGCACCACATCAGAATAGCTAAAGACAATAAAGTGCAACCATCAAGGTACTTTTGATTTTATTTCATTTCTTTTCTAGAAGGTCATGATAGAGATGCATACGAGTCAATTGCATGAACTGATAGGGCACCAAATACAAAGCATTCAGTAATGTAATACGTTTTCACATGCTAAAACACGATATAATCAGAAGAGCAGACTGGCCCAAGCAGCGATGAACGCAAAGCCACCCAACGGTGCCGTGGAAGAATACTTCCTGTCTTCAAGATAAGCCACAGTGTAGCACCTAAATGAAAACAGACGATGAAATTCCATCAACAACGATTTTGCAGTTCAGATACAATGCAATTAAACCCATGAAGATACTATTTTTCTCTTCTTTTGCCATTTCCTGATAATTTGGACTAATTTAAAGGAGGAAAAATACACGTACGTTCCAGAGAAGAGAACAATCCCAGCAGTAAGAAGCCCTCCAAACTGCAAGGATGACAAGCACTGAAGAACCCGTGGAAATTAGGAAGCAAAATAAACAGCAGTGTGGATAGCAAGTATACTAACAACATCGGGGCGCTTGGTGATGGGAGCCCCGAGCAACGCCGCGGTGTGGACGAGATGGTAGAGGGACGCAGTGTGCCAAACCTGTCGCCATTTTTTACCCCCAAATTGCAAGAATCGGATCAATAAATTGTAACAAAAAGGTCGGAAATAGAACGAATAATCCGGCAAGGATGAACACCAGGGAGCAATCCGAGTACCTCCTTGTACGCGGGGTTCTTGGGGCGGAACATGTGCGCGCCATAGGTGCCAAGTCCAAGGGCAGCAACCCCTGCTCAAATCCAGTCAACCAATCGCGAGGTTAGGGAAGCAAGAGGAGGAGGAGGAGGAGGACTGGAGGGGGGAGGAAGGGGAGGGCGGATTACCGGATATGGCGGCCACCTTGTGCCACAGGCTCGGATCTTTCATCGCCATGGCCGCCGCCGCCGCCATCTTCTTCCTTGGATCGCCTTCCTTGCTCGCTCGCTTCTGTTCTCTTCGCTCGTCGACTTCACTCTCCACCAGTCGTCAGTGTTGCATTTTCTCAAGATAACCCCCAGAGAGGTTCTAAATTATGCCAGCTATTTGCTTTACACATATTTCATTTTCATCACCCTTCGAGTCTACTCCCTCCGTAAATAAATAAATAACCTATGAATGTCAACCTGCACTCTTTTTTTTTATACAATCACAAGTACAAATGCAGACGTTCATAACGCGCGTACACTCACCCCTATGAACATACACTCTACCACTGTAAGTACCTCCGAAAGACTGGACGGTATATCTTGATATTGATGAAGTCACCACGAGCCTCGCTCACCCCTGTGAACGCATACTCTACCCTTATGAGCACCCCCGGAAGACTGGACCGGTATATCTTAATATTGACGAAGTCACCACGAGCGCCTCACTCGACTGGGCCGGCATATCGACAGCATATCTTGAGATTGACGAAGTAGACTGGGCCGGCATATTTTAAGATTGACAGCATCTTCGGAAGATTGGGCCGACATATATTAAGATTGACGAAGTCACTATGGGGGTAATTAGCTGTAAATGTGAGCACACATGTCAAATCTAGAATTTAAATCCGGTTGGGTTGGTTCCATCACAAAAAAATCTAATCAGCTACGCTCACTTCAATATCAACATGCACTTGTCCAGGAATATAACTAGGATTGAAATTACCCCAAAAAAAAACTAGGATTGAAATTTTTTTAACGAAGGATGTATGTCCGTTCTTTTTGTCAGAATAGAATGGAATGCGCGCACTTCCGAACTCCTGAAAGCTTCGATCTTCTTAAAAAAAACAAATTTATTTTCAACTTTGTAATAGTTTTTTTTTACATCGAATCATCCCGTTCATGCATTCATACCCAGGGAATATAAGGTTAATTAAATTTGTGTCATTATAAATTTACTCAGTTAAAAATATATCATGACTAATTCGCAATACCAGTTAAATGTCACTGAAATTTTGTAAAAAAAAAATAGTGCAAGTACTAACCGAGCAAGAATTTAATATACTAGAGATTATTGCTTTGTTAGTGGTCAAGCCACATATTATCCTATATATTTATATAGTTCATCCCTAGTTAATGATATTTCCTTTCTTCTTTCATTAAGCCACATCACCCTGATTATTTATATCCTTTGGATGATAGATCTATGATTCAAATTGTCTCTTCTTTATTCTCTCATAAAACCATGTAATCTTATTTTTTTTAGTCTTAAAATTGTACTATCAGTTTGCTTTAGTTTTGATAATCATATTACATCTTATTTGTACATATTATGCAAATTAATTTTCCATAGCAATGCAGTGGAGTATTCATCTAGTCCCCACTTAGTTTTTGTTTGGTTTGATCCCACACTTTTAATACGCCACGAAAGTAAAGGCTCCATCTTTTACCCTATATGGAATTAGCTTTACTAAAATTTAAATTTTAAAACTAATTTTTAAAGTTGATTTTAAGATTTTTCAACGAAGATTTTTTTTAACATTTGCTTTTAAAATCGCTATAGACTTATATATAGAAATTTCACCAACAAATTATCATTATCTGCTAATACTTCATATGGCTTAGTGGTTATGCCTCAGTAGCACCTTTGGTCTTGGGTTCGACTCCCCGTGGGAGCGAATTTTCCAGGATTTAACGGTTTGTGCTTTCAGTAATAGACGACGTATCTATCGACAGCGAGACGCCTATAGTAACTTCGTCAATCTCAAGGATTTACCGGCCCAGTCTTTAAAAATACTCATAGGGGTAGGTTTTGCGTGCGTGCGTACGTTCATAGGAGTAAGTGTGTGTATTACGAGTGTCCGTGTTGTACCGTGTAATTCTTAAAAAAAATGACCAACGGATGGAAAATTGGGTGCGTATGCTAAGAGGACAAATTGAGAAGGAATCTTTTGTTTTTGGCTTACATGTTTCCCGAATTACTAACAGTTTGTTTTTGAAAAAAAAAGGAGGAAAGTTTCTTTAAAAGTTCATATCAATTCATTTTTTAATTTAAAATAATTAATACGATTCACATTGTTTTACATATCTTCATAAAAATTTTCTTTCCCCTTCTTCCAAGCACACGCTTAGTATTGTAGTATAGCGAGTCAACTATTATGAGCACGATGTATTACTGGGTTTTGTATAACATGTGGCAAGTAACTTAGTATTATAATAGTACATATCGAGATTGGCGTCTTCTTGTAGTTTAACGCTGAGACATTTTAATTTTAAAAAAATCTTACTAGCTAGTACCAACGTGCGTAACAAACTATGAAGGCCAGTTTAATTATTTTATAATTAAACCCCTTGGCTCGATAGCTACAAACTTCAACGCCTTAATTTGGAAGGCTTGGGCACCACGAAAATATAAAATTTTTGCTTGGCTAATCATCTAAAATAGAGTCTGGACCTCCGACCGGCTACAAACGAGAGGCTGGCCAAACGGCTCCATTTACCCCTTATGTCGTCAAACCCAGGAGATGGCAATTCACCTACTTGCAGAGTGTCGGTACACAAGAAGGATTTGGAAGACCCTTGCGGGCTAGGTTGCGTGCGATCAACTGCACCCCAATCAATGGCAACAAGCACGGACGGTGCATGAATGATGGAAAAATACCATGACCTTAAGAGGCGTTCCCTCGAAGGCTCTCCGCACCCTTACATTGCTTGTGGCATTAGAGATCTAGAATGAAAGAAATCACAGAACCTTCCAGCAAAAGGAGCTCTCGACGATCAGCCCGATGGCCAAAATCAAAGAGGAGGCCAAAACTTGGGCTTTGGTGGGCGCGAAAAACCTAGAAGTTGGCTTATTCTATAGTTAGCTAGGGCCAAAGGCCTTTGCTTTTTCTTTCTCTTCTGGCTTAGGCCTTTGTACAGTTTACTCCTCTTTTATTCAATGAAATTAGCGATTCTCTGATTCGTTAAAAAAATATTCTAAAATTAATAGAACCATCTAAAACGCTGGATATACATTATGGGCCCCTAAGGTATGCTACTAGAGCAAAGTGAGGCTTACATATCGGCACCTAATGCGCATACAGTATTGTGAAGGAAAGGATTCCCTACATTCAAAACATTACTATGAAAAAAAAGCTCAATTGCATGTTTATATATAACAAGTTTAGTGCAAAATTTTAGGGCTCATTTGGTTGTAACCAACGTTGTCAAGCCTAATCTTAACCTTAATAAGATGTGGCTAGTAATATAGAAGTGTGGGCATTAAGCTACTTACTTAGAAAATCATCGCCAAACGTAGGAACCAAAACCTGACAAGTGACAAGGGCATACATGACGCTGCTCGTTTAAAAAAAAAAAACAAAACTAACAATGGCATAGCTGCAAACCTGCAAAAATCACTTGGGCCTCCACACTGAGGCCTCCCATGGCCCAACTATCCCAACCCAGCCCAACCACTGCACCGATCCGGGCGTCCGGCCGGCCGAAACGGCGAGAAATCCGTCCGTGTCGTCGAAACCTTTTGAACTCCTCCTCCTCCTCCTCGGCGCGCCTGTCCGTGCCCGTGCCCGGCGTGCAGCGCGCCGCGCAGCAAAAAAAAAAAAGTTCCCGACACCAGCACTGGCAGCAACGCAGCGTGAAAAGACAGAAAAAGCAACCGAACCGACCACACCGCGCGGCCCAAATCATCCCAAATCAATCCCAATCAACCAATCGACCAAACCAAACCCCCATTTTGAATTTCAAACGCCATTCCAGTATCCCACCACCTCCTCCTCCTCCCGGCGAGCAGCGAAGGCGAGATAGAGCGAGCGAGCGAGCGAGTGCGAGAGATGAGGAAGGCGACCGCCGCGGCGTCGCGCTACGCCTCCTACGACTCGCCGTCGCCGTCCCCGTCTCCGCGACGCGCCGGCGCGGCGGCGACGCCGGGGTACGGGAGCCGCGCGCTGGTGCCGGCCAGATCCGGCCGCGACCTGCGTGCCCCGGCGGCGCAGCACGGGAACCTCGGGTCCGTGCTCCGTAGGCTCATCTCCATGGACAAGAAGCCGGCGAAGAACCTCCCCGTACCTCCCGCCGCCGCCGCCGCCGCCGCCGCGAAGAACGGAAGTGGTGGGAAGCTGCCGGGGCTGTCGCGGAAGCTGTTCCAGAAAGGGTCGTCGGAGCCCAAGAAGAAGGCGCTGACGGAGGTCAAGAACGGCGGGAACACGCGGACGCTCGCCATGGTGCTGCGCAGCGAGCGGGAGCTCCTCACCCAGAGCAAGGAGCAGGAGGACGAGATCGCCGCGCTCCGCCTCCAGCTCGAGCAGAAGGACACGGAGGTACACGCTGACACATCCACACCTCCTTCCCTCTCCTCCCCGCCCACCGTCAATGCCATTGTGGGCTTACTGCCATTGCGTCGAGCAGGTTGAGCGCCTCAAGGACCTGTGCCTGCGGCAGCGGGAGGAGATCAGGACGCTCAAGGACGCCGTGCTCTTCCCGGACACGCAGCCGGACCGCCACCTCCGGGATGAGATCTCCACGCTCACGGGACAGATCCAATGCCTTGCCGAAGAGCTCGCGCAGGCATGTTCTTGACGATTTTGCAATGCCGTCACTTCACTAATTCTAATTACCCACCTAACTAAATCTTTCGCCTGCAATGGCTTCACTATGTACAGGTTAAGGCCGATAAACACACGCCAAGGTCATGTTTTGATGATGAATACTGCTCTTCCCCAAGAACACCGGTGCTTAATGAGGAGACTGCTTTCTCTCTGGTAATTTTCGCTTGCTCTACCATTCGTCTGCTACAATTATAATGTGTATGTATGTTAAGAAATACTGAAAAAGTTTCCAGATGCTCCACCATTTGATTGCTACTATCATCTGGTTTACTTGTACTTCATAAGTTGCCTTCAAATTATAAAGTTAGTTCCAACTGGTTTGTACTCGAAATTGACAATCTGCAATGCAAAGGTAGTGCCTTGGCTCATTTGTTAATAACATAATTGAAAGTCCCATACTAGCATTCTTGTCCAGTTCTTTACATTAGATAGGTTAATTCAAATTGATCGGCGGGCTGTCGCCTGTGTAGCGAAAAGGATAGGGTAATTCCTTTTCACAAGGTACTCAACGAGTACTCCTATGTGACAACAAAGAAACCAATAGGCTTTTTGTTCTTTATAGTTAACACAAAAGCTCTCCTTTTTCACAAGCACTTGTATCACTTAACCAGAAGGCACCTATAAATCCCAGTGGAGATGTAGAAGACAAATCACAGATAGCGAAAAATGCCGGTTTGTACTCTACACTATCTCACGTTTTGACATATATTCTGTCATGGGGGCAATGCAACATATATTGACACACACATTCTTGACCTCACTTTGCTTATTATTTAGTTATTTCTGATTTTCAATACATGCTCTTCACCTAAGTGATAGTTTGCAAACAAAATTTGCAGAAGCTAGTCGTTACCATTTTTTATGGTTAAATAATTTGGCCATAGATTAAGTCTTATCCTTCCTACAAACTATCATTTTGGTCTTCCTTTTCTTTTAAAAAGTTCCTCTAACAACATAAAGCCTACATGGCAATGGACTACTATAGTGCTACTTGTAATAGAAACTAGAAAGTACCATAAAGGCGCCCCTGTGCATGCCAGTTATTATTGCGCCTATCAAAAGTTTACTAATGCTGTTTGCTGCAACGCAGGAATGTAGCATTGGAGAAGATGACACACCAAACTACGGTAGTCCAGATGAAATGTTCAGCAAGGATCTTAATCCTTGCCTAACTCCATGCATCTCCAAGAGTAAATCCGAGGTATTCAGGCCGGTCTTGGTACAACTTTTACTCTTCTACTAATCCTGTCCATTTACACCATGAAGAATTGCCTTCTCCTATGATCTTATTTCTATCCGCAAGCCAAAGCAAAGTGTGGATTCTTTTTCTCATTCAAATCATGAACTTGAACAGGAGTACGAGCAACCGATCAATTCTCATCGCAGCGGCACGAAGGCCGGACAGGACAGCCTCTCCTGCGGTTCCCGTAGCAGGCCAATGTCGAAGAGCTCTGATCATCACAAGCCTACCTCAGGCACCAACAGCAAGCGACGAGTATACAGATCCGACCAAGACAAGTTCCATCAGAACCTGTTCTAGCTTTGCCGTTTACCACGGCCTTTTCCCCGGCCTCAATCACGCTTCCAGCAGTCTCCCCTGTGAAATATTCACAAGCGTGTGGACTCGTTTGGTCCATTGATACATGTCTCGAGTTGTTGTAATGGCGTCTTGGTTTGTGCTTTGCTGCTTTGCAGTGTATGCTTGCCCCTGCTGTTTCGAATGCTTGTCCAAGTCATGTGGATAAACTGTCTTGAGAAGAGGAAATAGCAGATGATGTTTTGCTTGGATTAAGGCGATACCTCTTTTTCTAATTTTTGCACTTAAGGCCAGAATATGGCAATTTTAACTATGAAGCGCAAAATGCAGTAGTTGATGTGTGGTGTGTGTCAGATAAATCTGATGGTTGAGTTGTTATTCGGAGAAATTTGATTCTGGGAGTATATGTTTGTTGAACATATTTCAGAATTATGATGAAAATGATTGAATCGCTCAATTTCGGAATACACTTCAGGCTGTCGGAACTGAGACAAGTCAGAGTTCAAATCTTGGTATCAGATCTCTCTAGGCGTTTGCGGGCATTAATCGCAAGTGAAAAAAACCAGAGCCGTCAGATCTGGAACGGACGGTCCAGATCCCAGGATGCCGAATACTAGTACTAGTACAATCTCTCTCTCTCTCTCTCCTCCCCCGCTTTCCTCTCCGTGTCGCGATCTGCGATGGTCGTCTCGTCCGCGACACCCCGGCCCCAATTCCAACACGCGTGCCCAGCAGCCGCAGATCTCTCTCCAAATTCCCCAATCCAAATCCGCCCTCGCCTCGCCCCGATCGATCCCCTCGATTCGATTCGATCCCGCCCGATGCGAGTGGAGGCGGCGGCGGCGGCGGCGGAGGCCGTGGCGGCGTGCGCGCGAGCTTAGGGTTTCTAGGGTTTGCGCTAGGGTTTGGGGGCGCGCCCGCGATGGGCCGGTCTCGCGGGGTGCCCAATTCCGGCGACGATGAAACGAACCACAGGTTTGTTTCTAGCAGCTGCTTCCCCCCGCTTTGCATTTTTCGCTCTGGTTGATGTGGAGGGGAGTGATCCATTCGTTGTCTGGTTGGGGTTTGCTGCAGGTCGAAGCGGAGGAGGGTCGCGTCGAGCGGCGATGCGCCGGACTCGCTCTCGGCGGCCTGCGGGGGAGCCGGAGAGGGTGGTGGGAAGAAGGCGCTGTACCACTGCAACTACTGCAATAAGGATATTTCCGGGAAGATCCGGATCAAGTGCTCCAAGTGCCCCGACTTCGACCTCTGCGTCGAGTGCTTCTCGGTCGGCGCCGAGGTCACCCCGCACCGCAGCAACCATCCTTACAGGGTCATGGTCAGTGCAGCTTCAGTTCACTTCACTTCTAGCTCCAAGTCTTAATGCAACGATGTAGATATACTTTACTTCCTTTTTTGTTAGCTTCAGGTGTCTTTGCTTGGGTGTTATCCTTTATTACTATACTAATCAGCTAGTGCTCTGTAATTCTTACATAATTGGATAGCCTAAAATAGTAGTGAAGCTTACAGTTGAAATATTTTTCACTTTGGTGCTTGCCATTCCTGATGCATGGTTTATGTTGTATGTGATTTTGCACCAGGACAACCTGTCTTTCCCTCTTATTTGTCCAGATTGGAATGCAGACGAGGAAATCCTTCTTCTAGAGGTACATTTTTCTTTCATTTGCTTTATTTACTTTCTGGCTGTTGGGTTTTGACTGTTTACTTGTTATAATTAATAAAAGGGAATTGAAATGTATGGTCTGGGAAATTGGGCTGAAGTTGCGGAGCATGTTGGCACCAAGACCAAGGCACAATGCATTGATCATTATACAACTGCATACATGAACTCACCTTGTTATCCCCTTCCGGTAATTATTTTCTCAAACTGTTAATTTGTTTAGTTCAACTGGTAGTCGTCTGGTACTCCTTAATTCAATATACTGTCTCGTGATCTCATCATTGTAGGATATGTCTCATGTTAACGGTAAGAACAGGAAGGAATTGCTTGCTATGGCTAAAGTACAAGGCGAGAGTAAAAAAGGTGAGTTGCTATCATACTTTTCAGTTAATGTAAACAGTCTTTTAACCTGCAAGTTGTCAAATATTCTACTTTTTGTTTAACATTTGAAGATTTCACACTGATGGGATAACAAAAAACACATGGTGTTGTGTGGTTTAGTTTTCTTAACATGCTAACATACTACTTGCTAATCGCCATACATAATGTGGTTCAGTGGTTTAGCCTTTTGTTTAGTATTTGATTGCGCACCTATGGTCCTCATGGATATATCAGTATGTTCGGTACCCTGATTTTTCAACATTTAATATCCAAAATATGAAGGGCAATATTAAAACATAAAATATAGGGTGCTAGTTAGTGAATGTAGGGTGCTAGTTAGTGAGTGATCTATGTCATGTTCTTTACCTGGTGAATTGGCAGCAGCACAATACTTTCAATTGGATGTAAGATCCATTTGGGCTTTTGTTTGGATGTAAGATCTCACATCCAAACAAAAGCTCGGATCTGATATCTGTGGATCCAACAGACACATAGATCCTACCCTACATGCTTTTGGCCTATCCACCTGCATGACATACTTCCTTCACTGATTTATTGCTATTCCCATCAGAAGCAGCTGGGCTGCCACCACAGCGTACCACAGCGTGTAACTGTAGTACTGTATACAAAGAAACAAAGACTAGGTATAGATGTACAGGTTAATAATCAAAGGGATAAGTCCATTTTACCCCCCTCAACTTTTCATGTAGTCTAAAACACACCCACTAACTTGAAAACCGGGTACATAACCCCCTCTAACTTTTAAAACCATGCAAAGGAACCCCTCATGCAAACTTAAGTGGATTTCATCTGATGTGGCAGTCCAATCAACCCAAGAAAACAAATAAAAAATCGATCAGTGCTCTTGCTCTCTCTGTCCATACGGGATTACCACGATGAGCGGCGGAGTGAGGCAGTGAGCTAGAGCGAGGGCCATGAGATAGTGCTGACGGTGCTGGATGCCGATAGTGCCGAGGCCGAGCTCCGCGTCCTTCCACCTCCGTCCTCCGCTGGTCGCCAGCACACGGCGCTGCCCCGAGACAGATCTGGGCACGCATGGAGCAGGCGACGACGAGGCAGAGCTCAACCTCGACATCACCGGAGCTCGAGCTTGCGCTTGCGGCGCATGGATGAGAAGGCGCTTGGGGAGGCGGCAGAGGGAAGGAGGGAGGTTGAACTAGCTGACGGATGGAGGAGGCGCTCCGGGAGCCAGAGCTTGAGCTTCCCTGTAAGATCGGCATCAGCGGTGAGCTCGATCTCCCCCTCCCCGTCACCCTTGCGAGAACCGGCGAGGTCGAGCTCCCTTTCACCCTTTCAAGAGCCGGTAAGCTCCATACCCCCTTCCTCATCGTCGCCCCCTCATCCGCCCCTCCTACACCGACCGCCAACGAGCACAAGCTCAAGATCCGCCTCCTCTGCTGCCTCTAGAGCTCGATCTTCTCCATGAAATCGTACCAGCGAGCTCGAGCTCAAGCTCCCCCTTCCCGAGCGACTCCTCTTCAGAGCCGACGCGTCACACCAGCTTGCTGGTGGACCTCGAGCTACTTGGGGACGCCGAGTTCATCAAAGGCGACGAGGCTTGGGGATGAGGAACTCGAGCTCGACGAGGTGCCAGCGCTTGCCGTAGCATCTCCCTAGCATGCGTGCACATGAGGAGGGAGCTCGTCGGCCATGGCTAGAGGGAGGATGCCGGGGATGGAGGGAGGGAGCTCATCGCTGCTTCCGCTCCTTAGGGAGCTCATCCAAAGAGAGGAGGAAGAAGAAGAGGACTGGTGGGACCCTATGTTGACGTGGCGTCCAAAATCGTCCAAAACCAGTCTAAAACCGCTATATGATGTAAAATGTACGGTTTTACTAGTTGGAGGGTGTATTATGGCCGGTTTTGTAGTTCGAGGTGTATTTTAGACAAACATAAGAGTTCGAGGGTGTAAAATGGACTTTTCCCATAATCAAATAACAGAACCTTGCACTGTATGATGACTCCAAACTGTAGGGGGAATCCATCATTTGTCACTGCAAAGATTGCCACACTTGGATTAGTCCCTGCTTGTGTCATCATAGTGTTCCAATCTTAGCAAGGGCACCCCTGTGACATCCTGGCCCAATTAGGATGAGGCCTGTGTGGCCCATGTGAACTGTGTGCGCATGTTTAGTACCACCTTGCTAGTCTAGCAAGGGTGGAACCAACTTATAAGGCCTCATCCCTCCAACCATACGACTCCCGGGTTAACCCTTTTACACAAAGCGAGGACGGAAGTGTAAGTGGGGTGGTATGTGTAAGTGGGCCCGCCCGTCGGTTGGGCTGGCTACGCGGTTCTGGAGGGAGGGCTGTTACAACCCCCCTCTGAATATGGATTTCTAATTGGTAATTGCTGCCTTGTGTAATAATTCAAATATGAAAAGCAGAAAAGGAGATAATATTTCACTATATTGGCTAGTATTTATACATGACCTTTTATTATTTGTATAGGAACTTCAGTGTTACCAGGGGATTTGACCCCTAAGGACGAGTCTCCATTTTCTCCCCCAAGGGTCAAGTATGCTGTTCTTGCTTTACACTTGCTGGCATTACTCTGAAATTTGCAATAGGTTGTTTACCAACTTTTTAACTTGCATAGGGTGGAAGATGCACTTGGAGAAGGTTTAGCTGGTCGATCACCTTCACACATAGCTGGGGGTACGTCTCATTGACATGACAACCTTGAACAATTAAATTCTGAAACAATATATCTTTATATTTGTATATTTTATGGAAATGCGCTATCACATTATGCTGATGCTGTTGAATCTGTCCAGGTGCAAATAAGAAAGCATCAAATGTTGGACAATTCAAAGATGGTGCTAATGTAGCAAAAGTTGAAGGTATAATCCTAACTGAACACAACAGTCTTATTTTGCATTCTACACATATCATTCAGCGTTGCACTGGTGTCTATAAAACATTACTTACATTTATCGTTAATTCGTTATAACCAGTCATGGGTGACCAGATCAAACTTAAACGGAACAATTCTTGGCATGGACTCCGAAGCTCTCAAATTTCAACCTTTAGGATATGTCTAATCATGCTTGTCACATTCTTAGGAATGGAACTACAAAAAATAACAGCACCAAAATTATGTTTGCCAGAATTTTATACTGGCAGCAAAATGAACTAAAGTTACTTTTTTATTTATTTATGTGGGGTGTGAAGTGTTTGTGGGAAACTCATTTTCTTTACT